TTGATAGTTTTGTCTTTTAGTCTTCCTACTCAGGATATAAGTGGTCTATACACTGCAATGACAGCAACAGAGTGTTTTGTATTTGTGTACTTACTGTTACCAGTGAGGTTTATACCTTCATATAATTTCTTATTGTTCATTAACATCCTTTCCTTTCATATTGAAGAACTACTTTTAGCATTTCTTGTGGGACAGGTCTGGTGTTAATGAAATCCCTCAGCTTTTGTTTGTCTGGGAAAGTCATTATTTCTCCTTCATATCTGAAGGATATTTTTGCAGGATATAATATTCTAGAGTTAAGATTTTCTTCCTTCAGCACTTTGAATATGTTATGCTACTCTCTTGGTCTGTAAGGTTTCTATTGAGAAGTCTTCTGCCAGATGTATGGGAGCTACTTTATACATTATTTTTTTCTTTTTTCTTGCTTCCCTTAGGACTTTTTCTGTGACATTTGAGGGCTTGATTATTAAATGCCTTGAGGTAGGTAGTCTTGTTTGGGTTAAATCTGCTTGGTGTTCTGTGACCTTCTTATACCTGATTATTAGTATCTTTCTCTAGGTTTGGAAAGTTCTCTGTTATTATTTCTTTGAATACATTCTCTACCCCAATCTCTCTCTACCTCTTCTTTTAGGCTAATAACTCTTAGATTTGCCCCTTTGAGGCTATTTTTTAGATCTTGTAGGCATGCTTCATTTTTTAAAAAATTCTTTTTTCTTTTTTGTCTATTTTCAAATACCTTGTCTTCAAGCTCACCAATTCTTCTGCTTGATTGATTCTGCTATTGAGAGACTCTGATGTGTTTTTTTCAGTTTGCCAATTGGATTTTTTAGCTGCAGAATTTTTGCTTGATTTTTAAAAATTATTTCAATCTCTTTGTTAAACTTCTGTGATAAGCTTCTGAATTCCTTCTCTGTGTTGTCTTGAAGTTCACCGAACTTCTTCAGGGCAGCTATTTAAAATTCTTTGTCTGAAAGGTCACATGTCTCCAACACCCCAGTATTGGTCATTGGTACCTTATTTAGTTCATATGGTGAGGTCATATTTTCCTGGACATTCTTGATGCGTGTGGATGTTCATCAATGTCTGGTCATTGAGGAGTTAGGTATTTATTTTAATCTTCATTGCCTGGGCTTGTTTGAATCCATCCTCTTTGAGAAGGCTTTCTAGATATCCAAAGAGAATTGAATATTGTGATCTAGTAAGTCTCTGGTCACTGCAGCCATATCAGCACTGGTGGTGCCCCAAACCCAGTAATGCTGTGACTCTTGCAGGCTCCTGGTGGTACCACTGTGGTGGACTTGGGTAAGATGTGGGAGAATTCCTGGATTACCAGGCAAAGCCTCTCACTCTTTTCCCTCACTTTCTGTGCTTGGGCTGCTGGAGTTGGGCAAGGAGTGATGTAGACACTCCCTTGTGGCTATTGTAGCTGGAACTACATCAGGTCACACCTAAAGCCAGCCCAGTCTCATCCAAAGCCCATGGTGACTGTTGCCTGGCTACCTCTAATGTTTATTCAAAGTCCAAGGGGATCTTTAGTTAGCAGGTGGTGAGTTCCGCCAGGACTGGGTCATTTTCTTCAGGGTAGCATGTTTCCTTCTGGTCCAGGGTGGATCTAGAAATGCTGTCTAGGATCTAAGGCCTAGTCAGGGGCTTCAGGAGTCTGCTTCATACTTTATTTTACTGTGGCTGAGCTGGTTACCCAAGTTGCAAACCAAAGTCCTCTGAGCTCTTCCCTTTCCTGTCCCCAGGTGGGAGAAGACTGTCCCTGAGCTGCATTGCTGGAGTTCAGGGAGGGGTGATACAGGCACTGGTGTGGCCACCGCTGTTGGTGTCTCACTGGGTCAAGTCCATGGGCTCCGAGCCAGCACAGCCACAAGAATTGCCCAAGGCTGCAGCCTTTGTAGCCTGACTACCTTACAAATTTATTCCAGGATGAATTTTTTTTTTTTTTTAGCCAGTGGTTGTGTTAGCCAGATCTCAGCTTCTGGGGTGGTGGATTTCCCTCTGGCCAGGCTGGTCTAAAGGCTCCCTCCATTGGTGCTGCCATGTAGCGTGTTCTCCTGTCACAGGGCAGCCCTGAGTTCCAATGCAAAGTCCCACAATCACTTCATTCTCCCTCTCCTGGGCACACAGATTCTGTCTCCCCGCAGCACTCTGGCACTGCCAGGGGATAGGGGAGGGGTGGCACAGGCAATGCAAGACTCTTTCCTGCCCTCTTCAGTGTCTCTTTCCTTGATATAATGTTAAAACCAGGTATTCTGATGCTCACCTGATTGTTGCTTCTTCTGAAGGTGTTTCCTTGCATGGATAGTTGTTGAATTTGGTGTTCATGCCCAGGGACGATCGCTGGAAGTTTCTATTTGGCCATCTTGCTCCGTCCCCTTCTCCCCCTCCCTGTTTCTATCAGTTATAATCAAACCTGTGTTTCTCTATTACTATATTGCTTTTAACATACTAAAAAAATAACAATGCCTTGCTATATATACCTGGAAAATTAATGCTGCTTTGTGCAATAGATAACCCTGAAATTTCAGTAGATTAGTACAAAGAAAGGTTATTGCTCGGCTGCATTACTGTTGGGCAGCTCTTCTGCGTGGCTGGTTTTCAAACACGGATTCATGGGTCAGGCTGATTTTTTCTTGGAATTCCACCATCTTGGAGTCATTTATTTCCAGCTGTGTGGACAAGAGAGAAAATATAGAAAAGGCACAGCAACTGCTAACAGCCTTAGCCTGAAAGTGGCACAAATCACTTGCCCTGACATTCCATAGACTAAACTCTGTCATACGGTCCCACGGAACTGAAGGGAAGCTGAGGAATGTAGTCATCTGTGGGCTCAGGAAGAGAAATGGGGAGGTGGACATAGGCCTTGCCACTGTCATAAATTGCCATTCCGGCCATCCACACATTTCATTTTTCTTCTCCAGAGAAAATACCTCCTCCTTAAAGGGGACACCTTCAGGTCCCATCCAGTCACTGAATCCAGCTCAAGTCCGTTCTCCGGGGTTCGGAATGTGCGAGAAGACATGCCATCGGAACACCCCTTCCCTTAGGGCACAATGTGCAGTGTTGGAGCAGGGTCAGGATCCCCTCCGAGGAAACTGTCATTTGAAAAGGGGAGAATGTGCACGTCCCAGTCTCTAGCCTATTACATTCCCGAGGTCCTGTGGGTCAGGCGTGTGAAGTCCCCGTGCCCCAGCAGCGAAGGGAATCCTTGAGTGGACGCTGACTCCACCCTCCAGGAGGCTCTTCCTCGTTCATTACCCCCTCGGCCTCGTCTGAAGTGAGTGTTGAGGGTCATGCCCTCGTTGGACCAGTCTAGCCTTTGAAGCCTCCCCGTCATCGAAGCTGGGTGCCCAAGGGCTGTTTAAGTCTTGAGCAGTCAGAAGTTTTGGGGCCTAGACTCAGAAACTTAGGAGGCTTCTGATCAGCAGCTTCCACGCCCCGGTAACAACACCCAAGATTCTTCCTAGACACGTTTCTCACGTTGACGTTACCTCTCTGCCTCTACCCCGTGCCTCTCCCTTTCACCCGAAGGCCATCTTCCTCGAGGCTGTTGATAAAACTAAGTGCAAGAGGTGACACTCTTAGTGCGCCTGTGTCCATCTGGTTCCTCTGAGGCACAGGGACCCGGGTGGGATAAACGCACAAGGGCTTTATTAAGGGAAACGGCTGTGAGAGAAGAAGGGCAGAGAGCTGAGGAGGCTGGGAGAGCCTTGACCCTGCGATGGGAGCCTGACCTGGGGGAAGGGGAGGGGTGGGGCTGGGGCAGGTGTTCTGGGCAGCTGTGCGGTCCTGGGTGGAGGAGTCGGGCGTCTCCTGGGAATGAGCCTGGTGTGCTTGGTCAAAGGCTGGAGTGGGCGCTGGGAAGCATGGAAGCACACGCAAGAGCACGGGAGCTGCTCTTCTTGGTCAGTGTTGCTGCTTGTAGCTGGAGGCGGATGAAGCACATTCTCATGGCCACCCAGGAGCTTTGTGCCCTGGGTCACTTTATTCACCGTAGGAATAAATAAAAGCACTGTGCTCTGTCATGCAAAACCTTTAAAATTCCCATCTCCTGCAGTTGGAGCCTAGAGGAAGATGAGATGGTTTTTCCAATCCTACAAACTCCCAAGCGTCTGTCTTCTCTCTACTGCCTTTCATTTCTGCTTGCAAAGCACTCAATTCTTTCTTGATCTCATTTCTTTCTCTTAGAACTTGGCCAAACACAGCCACTAGCGTCCAACACACACTACTGACATTCTATTTTCCAACCTCTTCCCTTAGAACGACATGTTCAGAAAACGCGGGGCTCTTCCTTTGAAGTTACAGAGTCTGACATTTCAGATGTTTGGCTGCTGCGTGACATGGGTCTCCAGGGGCTACGCACCACTCACCACCCCAGTGCTAAGGCAGTGGCAGGTAGTTTATATTCCTGTGTCAGCAGCACCCCACTTTTGGGATAGATTTCCATTTTAGTCATGCTAATCAGTGGAATCTGTTGCAATAGGTTGAGCATAATGTGGGTTTGTTTCTTGCTCTGTTATATAGTCTGTTGCAGGCCAGGGAGACTCGGGGCCCTGGGCTGCTTCCTTTTGCAGCTCCATTGTCTCCAGTTCCTTGTTTCCAGCCGGGGGACAGGAGGGGGAGAGTGCGGACAGGGCTCAGCAGCTCCTGACTGCCTCAGCCCAGGAGTGGCACAAGTGGCTTCCTTTGGAGAGTGCTACAATGGCACTTGATGTTCTCTGCTGAAAAGCTCAGGAGCGCTTGGCCTGGGACACCCGTTCCAGCCTTGGACGCCTGCTCCTGCAGGCTGGCTTGGCCATCGTGCTGCTCCCTGGGGGAGAGCGAGGGAGAGACAGTCATGGACCTGCACGCAGGCCAGGCTCTCTCTGGAATCCTTTTTGTAGACGACAGTGTTGTGTAGAGTGATGTGATGGTTGTGTACCGTCGGCCAGCTTAGGTCATTCCTTACTAATTGGAACTCAAACCTGTTTCTCCTTCCTTCTGTCGTGAGGCAGCGAGTGGCAAGCACATCCAGTGGCTCCTGGGGGCAGACGGCAACGTCTGGGTCTGGATCATGGGAGAAGGCCCGGGAGACAAGCCCTACGAAGAGATCTCCGAGGAGCTGATTGCAGAGAGGGCGCGGCTGCAGGCACAGAGGGAGGCCGAGGAGCTCTGGTGAGGGGGACCAAGGGGTGCTGGCTGGGGCCAAGCTAAGGACAATTGGTTGTGGGTGGCAGGGAGGAGGTGCCAGTCAGCTGGCTGGCCAGCTGGGGCCTCAGTTTTCACATCTGTAGTGTGGGCATGACAACACCGTTCCCATACGGATCCAGTTTGTGTTCACCGAGACGACACGTGCGACATGCTTTTGTTCTTTCCCTCACTGGGCTGCCACAGGGACAATATTGCAGTTTGGATTCACGTTTGTCCTCAGCTTGTTCCTTGTCATGTTACCCACTGTTCTCACAGAAGATGACATTTGAGCCCTGGTGAGATCTGGAGTCAGACTCCTTTCATAAGCGACTTGTAACATTTTTTTGCCAAACTCGGAGATATATGTGATGTTGACCCTAACACTCCCCCTCGCCAATTTTTTAAAATTTCAGCATATTATGGGGGTACAAATGTTGCCTTCCCCCTCCCCCCCCGTTTTTTTAACTCACCCTTGACTTGAATCTCAACCCACCTAATTTTTAATGACAGTATTTCAGTTGTAAAATTGTAAAAACTTGTAAACAACACTGAAAACTATAAAAAATAAAGGACAACCCACCAGATAACCACAGTGAGCATTTAGGTACTGTATACTTTGCAAACTGCTTTATTCACAAACTGACAAATTGATTAATATAGATCCACAGTGCTACTTGAGATTACTGTGTAGTACAGATACTATGTTACATGAGAAACTCAACTTTTTGGCCTTTTTGATAGACATTTGAGTAGTTTAGCATTTTGTGTGTTATAAAAATCCTCTGCTAAGCATTTTTTACATCCATCTTTGTACACCTGAGTGAGAATTGGGATTTCCGAGTGTTATTTTCCTGGCTTCCAGAACAATTCTGCTGATTGACACGCCCATATGTGAGGATGCCTGTTTCTCCCCACCTTTGCCAACATTGGCTTTTGTTGACCTCTGATATTTGCCGCTCTGATAGACCAAGGAAAGACTGCTCGTTGTTTTACTTCGGGCTCTGTTGCTGTGTGGTCCTTCAGTTTTCCACACGAGCTTACACCTGGTGGTGCTCTCTTGGAAGGAGACAGAAGGAGGCAGAGATCACCAAGAAGTTTCGGGATGCTCTGGCCAATGAGAAAGCCCGGATCCTGGCGGAGAAGTGGAAAGTGGAGATGGAAGACCGCAAGGCTGCCAAAGTCCTGGAGGAACGTATCCACGAGGAATTCAAGGTGGGCCAGTGCTGGGGCCCCGTTTGCGACCACCTGGGGCTGGCCTCTGGTTGGGACCTGTCCGTGGCCTTTGCTTGGTGCTGGGCGTTTTATGAGAACAGAAATCTGGCATGTCTGAGCAGGAAGGAGCTTGACACACCACCCGGGCCAGTCCACTTCTGTGGTACAGATGAGGAAACTGAGGGTCAGACGGGAAGAGGCTTGCCAAGGCCACATATGGTAGTGGCTGGGGATAGAGTCAGGATCAGAACTTAGGCCTTCTGCATCCCAAACCATGGGTCCCAAAATGAGGCCTAGAAAGAGCTGGGTTTTTGTCAGACCAGCCTGTGATCCAGTTCCAATTCTGCTGCTTACTGCTGTGTGACCTTGGGAAGCTTGCTGAACTTCTCTGAGCCTCCACTTTCTTGGTTTTAATATTAGGGTAATAATAACACTCTATCTGAGGTTTTTATGAGGATTCAAGGAGATGCTCTATACACACTTTCTGGCCCAGAATAGGGAGTTATTGGTCTATTGTCAGGTGCTGGCTAGAACAACTAGTAAGTTTTTCTGGCAACACTGAGCTTTTTCAGGCAGGCATTTAAATGGAGATCTGGAGTCGTCCTAGGAACATGACCTTATGCTGCTAAAAGTCATGCTAGAGTTTGGCCAAGTCTCTTAGTGCAGAGGTTTGGATGGAGTTGTTGTGTATGTGCAGAGAATCCTGCAGTTGTCTCTGTATATTGATGTCATTTGCCCATTTAAAAAAATTTTAAAACCCTTTTCTCCCTACATAAGGATGAGATAGTGAGGATGTTGACCTTTTAAAGTCATTTATGTTGCAAATATTTTTCTCAGTGTTGTTTTTTCATAATTTTGGTTTTAGTATTTTCAGATGTACAGAAGATTAACATTTTTATTAGCCCTATCTATCAGTCTTGTTTTTCTTTATTATTTGTTTCATGCTTAGAAAGATCTGTGCTGCTACAAGCTTATAAAAAATTGACAGTTTTATACATCTTTCTTGATTTTATTTTTTTGCACCTAATTTTCTTTCACTTTGGAGGGTAGCATGATATAGGGCTCTAAATTCATTTTCTGCCAAATGGTCAGCCAGTTTTCCTGATATTATTTATTGTGTAATCTATCCTCTCCCTTTTCACTGGACTTGCTGTCTTGATTGGATTCTTTCTACTCACTTCTGGGTCTCTCTTTGTGGATTTTTCTTCTCTGATTTATTATTCTTGAGCCAGACTTAATTGTTTAATTATTATAGCTTTAAAATAAATTTTAACATCTGTTAAGGTAATAACCCTATCATTACTCTTCATTTACAAAATGTCCTTGTCTAATCTCACCTATTTTTTTCTGCCAGGGAAACTTTTGAATTATTTTGTCACTATCCTCCCCACCCCCAACAACAAAGACCACAGTAATTTTCATTGACATTGGACATTTTTACAACATTGAATCACTGAGTCTTCTTGTTCAGGAATGTGGTATGTTTCTCTTCTTATTCAAAGCTGCTTTTTGTCTTTGTTAAAAAATTTTTTTAACTCTGTAAGTGCAATGGACACATAATCCCAAACATTTTCAATAATTTATATATACCTATGTGCAATTATTTGGGACCTTGGTAAAATTTATTTTCCTTAAAGGCTCCACATTTCTTTTTAAGTTAAACATTACATTTAATACTTTTTGTTGCTATTGTGAACAAGATTGTCCCCATTATTTTTAAATCCATTGCAATTGCTAGTTATATATTTGTATTATCATTGATGTCCTTATTTAACTTTCCCATGAGTTGCAATTTTCTTAGGAGAGTCTTTTGAGTTTTTAAGTGAAGCAATATTTATTCTTCAAACATTTTATTTATTTAGAAATATTTCAAACATGCAGAAAAAGGGAAAGAAAAATAAAAAGAACATGCATATATTCTCCACTTAAATTTCCCAATATTAATATTTTGCCACATTTGCATTCTATCTGTATTTATATGTTTATATGCACACAAGTGTATACTTTTACTAAATAATTTGAAAGGAAGTTGCAGACATCATGACACTCTAACCCAGAGGATAGCAAATTCTTTTCTGTAAAGTACAGATAGTAAATATTTTAGGCTGTGGGATCCATGTTGTCTCTGTCACTACTATTCAACTCTGCCACTGTAGCACAATAGCAGCCACGGACAGTGTAGAAGTGAGAGGGTGTGGCTGTGTTCTAGTAGGACTACAGACGTTGGCCAGATTTAGCCTGGGAGCCTGCGTTTGTGGACTCCTAATAAAACCCTTAGTAGTTCAGCATGCATCTCTTATGAGGACGGGCATTTCCCAACATGGCAGAACAATCACAGTCACACACACCTATTGAACAATAATTCTATAATATTTCAAATCCAATTTATAGTGGAGAGATATTTAGTTTACACTGTTGGATTTTGCATATCATTATTTAAGTCTGCTGGGGAAGAAAAGCAATTCCTTTTCTCTATCTCTAACAGTGAGAGTCACCTGTTCTAATTTCTGGCCTCCCTCCTTCCCTGACAGGGGCTGAGCCCCGGATGATGGAAGGGCGGCTCCGTGGAGCTGGGGTCCTGGGGCTCAGTTCACAAGGAGGTCGTGGAGGGATTAAGTTAGCAGTGGAGATTTGCTGGTTCATGGTTTTCTTGAGAACCTCAGTGACAGAGGGGGTGAGAAACTGTGGGGCACACAGGGGGCCAGTAAAGCCATCTGGTCAGGCTCTAGGTTTACTGAGGGACTCAAACACTTTAGGTAGTATTTTGTGATTTTTTTTTTTTTTTGGTTCAAAAATTAATTTGCTAAATGTGATTGTTTAAACTCTTTAGAAATAGTGATGCTGATTTGATATGTCTTCATTTCTAGGAGCCTCAGACATGTGAGTCACGTCCGAGAGGCCCCGGAGGGGCTCATTAGGGTAGCGTCTGTCAGTAACATCAGATCAAGGACTCTGGAGTTGAACAGTCTGGGTTTATGAGCTGGGATATTTTTTGTTAGATCTGCCTTTTGTTTTGCTGAGCTCCTCATCACAGGAAATAGTTAAGCATAGGCTGAAACATTGTCTCAAAAGGTTTCTGTGGTAGATTAAATGTGGCTGGTGGCAAATTCTTTGCCCCTTCTTCCTTTCAGAGGCAGGGGTCTATTCCGCCACCCTTGAGTCTGTGCCAGCCTTGTGACTAGCTTTGACGTATAGAATGCAGTACAAATGACTCGTGTAACTTTTGTGGGAAGGCTATAAAAGATTTGCAGCTTCTACTTTTACAACTCTCTTGCAATGCTCCCCATGCTTGGAGGCTGTCTAAGAAGAAGTCCTGCTACCCTAGACTGCCATGCTGAAAGGAAGCCCAAGCAACCATGCAGAGAGGAAGGGGCTAAGTGGAGGGACACCAAGGCATCAGACAACGAGTGAAGCCTTCTTGGTTCTGCCAGCCCATCCCAGTGAATGACCCCAACCAAGTGACTGACCTCAGCTGATACCATGTGAAGCGGAAGAGCCAACCAGCCAAGCCCTGCCTGAATTATCGACCCACAGAATCATAAGCTAATAAAATGGTTATTCTTTTAAGCCACTAAACTTTCTGGTAGTTTGTTACTCAGCAATGGATAACCCAAAACAGTGTCACCAAAAGGATTTATGCATCTTAGATAACTTTTACTGTGTCTTTCAACACCAAGATTCTAACATTCTGTGAGTTTTGCATGTAGGAACTTACCAACAATCTTCATTTAATACTTTCTTTCTTTCTGAGACCTTTTGGGGAGGTTGTTTGTTGGGGGCAGGAAGGAGGGAAGGTGTAAATGCCCTGCTGTCAAAAAGCTTACACAGTGCCAGGAAAGATAAATTCATAGGCAACCCTAAGCCCCAACCACACCAAGGGTCCTGTAATGAAGAACAAAAGAGTACCTTTGTGAGTCTGAGCATGAACAAAGATAGGAGATGGGAAAGGAAATTCATAGAACAATGAATGGTCTTCCAGAGGGAGAGAAAAAAAGCCCACCCACTATGGGTGGAACCAGACATAAACTTGGAAAGGCAGGTTGTGGAGCCCTTAAATGCTATGTTTAGGGGGTGGAGTGTCCTCTGTGGGCAGAGCAGGATCTTGATACAAACAGGGGCCTGACTGGATCAAGTTTTAGGAGCATAACTGGTGGCAATGGTGTGATTCAAGTGCTGAAGCTTGTGGGCAGGAAGCCAGGTGGGAGATTTTTGCAACAGTCAAGGTGTGAAAGGGTCTGGAAAGAGTGTGTGACAATGGGGAAGGGGAGAAGGGATGGACATAGAGAAAAGGTGGTAGTGAAATCAACAGGGCTTGGCATCAATTAGATGTTGAGATGAGGGAAAGCAAAGAGCAAAGGTGTCGGAGTCCCAGGCCAAGGGAAGTGGGGTTGGTGCACCCTCCACCATGAGGAGCTGGGGAGGAGGTAAAGGCTTGCAGGAAGGTGGAGGTGCTTGGATTGGCTGCGCTGAGGAGGGAGAGGGTTGGGGGCTGGAAGAAAGAAAAGAACCAGGGTGAGAAGCCTGGTGCTGGAGGAAGGTGGGTGGGCTCACTTTAGGCTGCTTGTGGTGTGGATATAGCCAGCTTCTGCTAATTCTCTAGGTCATAGAAAAGGTAACATTGACAATTCCTTTTAGAAAATGAAAAAAAAAAAAAATCCCAGACTCTTTGTGTAGGGTTACAGAGGGAACTTCAAGATAGAAGATAGAGACAGCTGGAAACCTGTTTTTTAAAATCATTCTGCTGTGGCTGGTGCCATTTGAATGCAATTTACATGCCAATAAAAGTGTTCCTGTAGAAAAAAAAAAAAAAAGAGATCATGAGGCCAGATAAAATTTGCATTTTTTTCCCTCTTGTTTTCTTACTCCTAAGATAGCTTCTGCATATGTCTTCCTCTGCTCAAGACCACAGAACATGACTCAGTAAGGATCTTGCTCTCTCCCTCTCTCTGGGGTCCTGTGACCTTCCTTCTCCACTTCCAAGGTGAATGCTTGCAGAGAAA